ACGTTTACTTTCCAAATTTTTCGAGTCAGCTTAACTGCCAATTGGCCAACAATCGAATTATTGATGTTGGAATATCTTTCATTTTGTTTGAAGAGTCAACTGAAAGGGATTTGTATGTTGGACCCACCGTAAGCTGAAGGGTGGTCGCCTCGGAGCTGACTGATGATTTGTGCGAATAGGTTCTCGGCGCATTGCACTGCGACCCCAATGTAATCTTGCTGAGTTTTCGTCTGTCATGTGACGGACATCGTCAGAGCAGGACATCATAGTTTACGATAATTCGCTAAAACACTAAGACAAGAAAGACCTGAGCCGAGGAATTATTCGCTTAAATCTACATTCACAGCTCAACGGCAATCCTCCTTCCGCTTCCAGTGAGGCTAACTTATGAACCCCTTCCACTCGTCTCTTCAAACGAAATGAAAACTACTTCAACTCATCCTGGACCGACAGCAGTTTTTTTCTCGCTTATTCATCTTGTCTGCACCGTGAACAATCGAGTTTTAAGGTAAACGCGTTACCTCCAGGCCTTAGTTTGTATCTGCGAAATCCAGTTTTTCTACATACTCGTAAGATCACAAACGAGCTTTTTTACCTTTGTATCCTTATCATGAATTTTTATGCTTAGCTATTCTTTTTCTTTGAATTCCGTCTGACATAGCATGTGTGTTGCTAGGTGCTCTAACGATTTTACGAGACATCTTCTTAGCTGAAAAGTAATATCTTTAATGGTCTCTCATTGCTATTCCTCTCGTGCCTCAAATCCCCACCCACTCAATTGTCAACTCTCTCTCTCTCTATATATATATATATATATTTGCCATCACTCCGAATGGCAAAGTCAGACGCGTCTGGTTAAGTTGATGAACTTTTGTCTTTATGTAAAAGTGAAAGAGTGTACTAAGGTGTATAGGAAATTGACCGTGATTGGAACTAAAACAAGAAAAGACCAGTTAAGTCGTCTCCTTTCTTTAGATGGATTGATATCGTCTCTATCCTTGAGTTTATTAATTTAGCATAAGAAATTCTTGCTTAACTTCTTGCTCACATTCCATACATTCAATGTATTGCCTAAGCGATTGATTTCGATTATATTCGCTATACGACGGATGAAGGCTTAGCACGTTTTTACCAGAATCGAAGGAGATTGCTTCGGAAACAGGGTCAACAAGTATGTTTCAGATACGAATCTCCTGAAATAACATTGTTGGGGAGACTTTAATTTCGTATGAAACTGCATGAAGAAGAGATTCGAAGGTCAATCTCACCAGAAGATAATGGCTGATTCCCATTGAATTACAGCCGTTTGGCTTTAATACAACGTTCAGGTTGATGCAATCCACGAGACCTCATATATCAATCTATGCCTTTTGATTTTCTTTTACTTAATTATATCGATATAAGAGGTAAGATAGAGCGGGATAGTCTTCTTCACATAGTGTTAACGTGAGACTTTTACAAGAATGAGTTCTAGCTCTGATGATGTACATCATATGACGGACGAAAGCTCAGCCCGTTTTCACCCGAAACGAGGAGAGAGGTCTCGTGGACTGCGTCAGCCTGAAGATCGAATGAAAATCTCTCTAAGAATATTTCGGTAAAGCCAAACGACAGCTAATTAAGAGGAATCTGTCGTCGCCTTTGAATCTCTTTAACAAACACTTTCACTTGAAATGGAAGTGAGCCCAATACTTATGAACCAAAAGATCCCTCGACACCCAACTTTTATTTGCGTATAATTATCCTGATAAATCATCTGCATTGTCATTTCTCTGGGTGCTATCTTTGTTATAGTTTCAATTTATTTATTCCATTTGATAATTACCATAATTTCTTGTGAATACGCGTTCCAATTCTCTTTTTATATCTCTCTGAGGCGTGACACTTACTTTATTCATGCAATTTATTTGAATTTTAGAATATTTTTAATTTAACATATTTGATCTGCCTTGCTTACTCTCTTCTATCCACTGAGCTGTCCGTAAAGAACCCTTATCACGTCACTAGATTTCATCTAGCCCTTCATTCTAGATGGCTTCCAGAATAGACTGCTTTTCTAACCTTGCCTGGGTTTATCAGGATTCTTCACTGGGTATTTGTCTCGACCAAAAATATAATTTCATCTAGCACTAACCCACTCAAAAGATCACATTTTTCCTGTCACTAACTTTGCCTTGCTTGTACTTAGATGGTAAAGTGTTGCTCTTTGACACACGCAACCCTTTTTCGAACTCCACCGAAGGAGGTTATGAGACCCAGACGAATTCTAACCTTTAATCCAATCTGGACACAACAATCTTTCGAGAGGCAAGGCTAAATTAATCGAAGGTATGAAGATCAGGATGGTGTGGCCTTTGGTATCGTCGCGGTCTCCTTTCGTTATATAGAAGTTTTTGATCTTGTTTCCGAAATTTGGTCATATTGACAGGAAGACCTAGAGGAATGCACCCTGTCCAGAGCTCATAGTATGCAGGATAATTTCCAGTTAGATCGTGGACTTGGTAATTCCATGACGTTTTGCCGACATCGTCAATGAGTCTTGACATTCTCAGCACCAAGCTAAACCTCGTCAAAAAGACAAGTAAGGTCAATCCCTTGACCGAATTTCTGTCGAAGCTGTTAAGTTTTGATGTATAATCTATGTGCACAAACATTTTTAGAGAAGAGGCGCTAATGGTTATGGAAGAAATTTTGGACTGAGGAGAGGATATCCTAAAAGCACAGAGTATCAGAAGGGAGTCAGTAACACGACTAATCAACTTGATAATAAGTAGTAACTTCACATTCATTGACAGCATTTATGATCAGACATTTGAACTTCCTATGGGGTCACCTCTATTGACAAATGTATACATGAACAAATTGGAAGAGAATTTCAAGTTCTTATGCGGTTCCTGGATGATCATTTTGTAATATGGTCACATGGAAGAGAAAAATGGGAGGATTTCCTAAAGTTTATGAACGCGATTGATGAAAGGATCAAATTCACAATGGATGTAGAGAAAGAGGGGTGTTTGGCTTTCCTAGATGTGGAGGCCATTCGCTCTACTAGGACATCCAAGAGCAAATTGTTCCGAAAGAAGTCATATGCTGCAATAATACTCCATTTTGAATGAAGATAGGCATACTGAAGAGTATGATCCTCAGAAGCCTACAAATAACGGACGTGGAATTCTGGGATGCAGAATTGGAAAAATTGACTTTGATGTTCCTTGGTAATGGATTTCAAAGAGAAGTAATTTAAAGAAACATACTGGCCTTGAAGAGCCGATAGCAGGACGGAGATTATGAAAGAAAGATAAAGATGCATAAAGACTCACAAAAGTGGATATGTCTGCATTCCTGTGAATTATCTCAAAAACTACGGCCAATATTAAGAAAATGGAATATTCAGGTGGCCACGAAGGAAAAAACAACACTTAACAAGTCTACCCACGCGACATGAGGGAGGGGACAAATAGGATTGCTCGGGAGTTTACTGCATAGCATGCGGCGCCTGTGAACAAAAATAGATTGACGAAACTGGAAGAAAAATCAACATACGAATCAAGGAACATCAACGGCTCTGCATGAAAATGAATACAGAAAGGTCAGATATAGCGGAACACATCGCAGAGACGACACGAGATCATTTGGAAAGTAATAGAAAGAAGGGCCTCATACAGTGAAAGCACAAAGAAATGGAAGATTTGGGTGGCCATTGGCATCCTTGGGAAAAACAGTTAATGAACAGGAAATCGGAAGGAGGCAGAGTTAGTGATTATTTTGCCTATTGCCTAATCAAAATCGGAGAAAATATGAATGGGTGCAACAATACACAGAAAAAGGAGACGCCTGGATCAAGGATCTATTTATCGTAAACCAGAGGAAAAGGGATTGCAAGGAAGTAGAGGGTGAGGAAGTTTAGGAAAAGAAGTGAAGACGTTCTCTGTGAGTGTAGTCAGGTCGAGTAAACAACTACAACTATGAGGGCCTGGCGTTTCACGTGACTAGGGGGAGGGATTCATTTACAAATTGGGCATTATGACCAAATTGACTAATAGTCTACTTGAGCTGCAGCAGGCGACCAGAGACAGATGTCTACAGTTTGTTCAGGGTACATGGGTTTAATAAAGAAGATGATGCATGAAGGGAATTCCTGGCAAGGCTTGGAAATCAGAGCCTAGGAGCTCTGCAGATGAAATCAGTCAACCGGAAAGATAAGAAACGGACCCAGGGGCCCATGAGGCAGATACGGACAGGAGGCTATAGTCGGATCAGCCACTCGAAAGGGAGGGGAACAAAGCAAACAGCAGGTGTGATAACGTAACGGTAAATTCGCCAAAATGGTACAACTCTTGTGGTATATCAAGATGTCAGAAGTTGTGATAGGACGAGGACAAGGCAAGGGAGTAGGAAATAGATAGAGGAATTAGGATAGGACGAGGAGTGATAGCACAACCGTTTCGACATAAAGTTAATAAAGGGACTGATTTCACGTGTCAATTCGACGAGTTGTAGCTTGGTTGCTGAGACTGACAAGACTCATTGACGATGTCGGCGAGACGTCTGGGAATGTGCAAAGTCCACGGTCCGACTGAAAATTATCATGCATACTATGAACTCCGGACAAGATGCATTCCTTTTCCTGTCAATATGACCAATTTTCATAAACCATATCAAAAATTGCTATGGCTAATTTGAATTCACTGGCCTATGGAAATCATATCAATTTGTTGTGCGTAGCTCCATTGTCACGACCATTATTTTTGTACTGTTCCATTCATTTTCTAGCTTAATATTACCAACCTTTATTTCAACTCCACATATTTTCTACGAGTTCTTCCTTATCACTCTATTCTTCCTACTCCATACCCAATCCACTAGCCATATTACCAACCCTTTCGATTTTCACCCGGTTTTTATCCCTATACTCTTGTTTTACTTTTGCATCCAGCCTAGAATTCCAAGCGACTTTCATTGGTCCCCCGGACTTTCAATGAATCGTATGCCTCTTTCTCATGTCCCGTTTCTTGTTCCCTCTGCATCAGGCTGCCCCAAGCCAGCCCCCCAGATTCATGCTACCCTATGCTGTCGGTGGCGCCCCTTCACAACCTGGCTCTCATCTGACCCAGCTTGGCCAGCCTAGTCTGCCTCATAAACATATGATTGCGCCAATGGCAGACTACTATGCGATCCAAGGCACCACTGTACCAGCTCCAGGATCCTTAGTTTCTTCAGTCCCAAATGCCATCCCTAGTAGTTCGTATGGACAACCTTACATTCCGGCAGGCTATGACCCTGGCATCGGTGAGCCCACTAAATAATCTAACAATCCGATTAACCAACTCCCTTTTCTTAATCACTATTTCATCGATGCACCAATTATCATCTTATCATGGTTTTAAACACAGCTCATACTGTCTTTATCCTTACAATTCTACTAATTCTCAAGGTTCCGCATTTAAGCATGGTCATTATTATCTTTAAAATAGGCTTTATACTCATGGAAAGTCGTGCCAACCGTTCACTTATAGTTCATGTGGGAAATAGCCCCATGGAGGTTCGTTACTCATATTGGAAATGCAATTCTTTATCATGCTTAGTCATCCGAATACGCCAAAATTTGAAGGCATTATAATTACGTTGAGACCGATATATTGCTCGTTAGTCCAATTTGAACCACAGATAATCTTTATTTTCTAGCCTATTTGATGGAATTATTTATGGGTTGCCTCCCTATGCTCCTATTCAACTCGGTACCTGGCTTATAATTTTTGGTGACTAGCCTTACTTTGTTTGCCTCCCATTCAACAAATTCTATCCCAATGCATGCACGCATCCGTTTTAAGCAAAATTGCTATTTTGTATATTGCAATTTATTTTTTATTAAGTTAATCCTCGCCTTGTTTGTATATATTTATGCACACATGAAATCGCAATCCATTGTTAATCGATTAGAATCAATAAGTTTGCTGATCAATGTTGACCCGTTGGGAAAACATGATAAACTCAAATATTTTTCCTCTGAATCAAAATCTACCCCTAACACGGCCCCAATACTGCTAGTGATCATAAATAGTCTTGTTGTTATAGCATTATGAGTAGAAGAGTGATTGTCAGGACATTTTGCTGAAAATCAACTTCACCAATTTTTACAAACATACGACTTAACAACTACTATTGTCTTTACCAGAGTCTAATGTGAAAATATACAAACAGATGTATTTGACTTGTTGCGAGGTTTTTTCTGAAGATATCTAAGCTAAGGTAAAATAGGATTTCTTAGTTTAGAGCACTTTGAACTTACTTGAAATCAGAATGCGGGAGCTTCCATAATTTTGATAGCATGAGCACTATGCTAACAGAATAAAAGCATGCATAAGTAGGATTACAGTGAGGCTATTTACTTGCGCCACAGTTATATATAGTTGTATACACTAGAAAAATTTCTAGAATTTGATTG